AGAGCAGGTCACAATGAATGAAATGACCGCAGGAGGACCTAGCTCCAAAAGCAAATTGAATAAACAGCATAAGCCGGCTCATGTCCCTACAGATGCAAGTAGTAGTAAGTCTCTGTTTGAAATACCAGCTATACCTACTTTGTCCAAATTCAATTTCATGTCGTCTTCTGAGAGTGGAAAGCCATTTGGATCCTTCTTTTCACAACAGCCACCTTCTGCAAGTAAAACTGCAGCAGAGCCAGGCCTCATGCACAGTTTTAAGAGGTTTTCTTCAACGTTGTTTGAAGGAGGGAATGAAGAAAAAGTGACCAGGCCAGATGGTGTCCAGGGGGCAGTGTTTGGGAAGAAGTTAGATTTTTCATTTCCTTGGCAAAAAGAGAAGGAGACCTCTGTCAAACGGGAACCGGATGTGCCACCGCAGGTTTTATCCAAGCCACACGTAAAGGTGCTGGAAGCAGTCGGTGCAGATGAGAATTCAGAATCTGTTGTGGCGAATCAACGAGGCGATCCAAGCACGGAATCGAGTTGCTCTGCTGAGCAACCTGACAGGGTGAATGTGGAGCTTTCTGAAGGGCCACCGGGAACTGGCCCTGTGGGTGTGTCCAGCGAACCGTTAAAAGGCAGAATCGCCGAAGAGTCTGAACATCAGCAAAGCGAACTTTGCAGTAAATTCTCACGTCCGCCTTGTGCGGAAGAACCCCCAGGAGAGATCTCATGTCAGCAGGAGGCTCTTGGCTCTTGTCCTGACACAGGAGCACTACATCATGGCTCGCAGGCAGCAGAGGGGAATGGCACGGAACCATCCAGTCGGAGAAGGCCAGTTGCAAAAGAAGCATAATAAATGGTTTCAAGCCATTGACCATTTATAATGCAAGTGCCCTAGCAGTAGACCTCAGTCTTTGTGTTACTGGTCTTAGTTCAGTGTCATACCTATTTATGATCCGTTGTTTGCAGCGTTCCTGGTATTGGCTTTACAGGATGCTGTGTGTGGTCACTAGATTAACACCAAGTGCTTGTGTGTCTTTTCTCCACCACCTCTGCTCTTGTGTTTCTGCAAGAATGTCATTAGTTTGCTTATGTGCTCCTTTTTACGTCCTGTGCCAGTGAATGAGATGTTTTGAGTGTTACTTTCATTAGTCTTTCATAACTTAATGCCTTGTGTGATAAGCCTGGTACGTACCGAATGGTTTTGCTTACAAGTTGAGTGAGACTATTTAGTATTCCCTGAAGAAGCATTTGTAATAAGAGATAATACTGTGTCGTGCCTAGAAAACAAGGTTATTTTTAAAATGGTTATTAGGTTTTAAAATCTGTTAAGCTTAATTTGCCATTCTAATAATTATAGATATATTTAGAGTGCTTTCAAATTTTTCACACTTTTTAACATTTCCAAAGGTGGCAATGAAGGTATTACAGGTTAAACTGTGAGGTTGAGATTTTGTTAAAATCCGTACAAAATCTGCCTACTTGAAGCAATGAATGATGCTACTGAGTAAGGTTTGCAGTAGTTCATGACCCCGTTTTGTCCTGTGTGCATTCCAGATTGTAATTGCCCCTCTCTCTCACATGGTGGAGATTTGCTAAATTCACATTTGTAGGTACTGAAAGAGAAACTGTCTCCCCCATACATCCTTGCTGTTAACTATGCCATGAACAGAAGAAATCAGACTCCAGCACTGCCAATCCAGCACCAAATTCCAGTAATCAATGTAGCATATGTAAGACAATGCCAAACCTCTTCCCAAAGTGACTATAATTGATGTTAAGGTCAAAACATCCCTCTGTATTAGGTGATAGTTTTGTTATGCACACACATGTGCATCAGATGTTGGAGTAATAATTTCTGAGGGAAGTTTTAACATGGACTTTCCAGACTTTGCCTATGAAATTTCCATCCCCAAATGTCCTAATGTTTTTATATGGAATCATTGCTTTCCAAAGAGCTTGGGAGGTTTGAGATGCACGAGCTCCTTTTGTAAGAAAGAGCTGTCGTCTTCCTTGCTACAGACTCTGGCAGCAATAAAATTAACAAGAAGCAGGAAATACTTGCAAAATAGTAGAAGCTGAACGAACTTCCATATGCCCATTTCTATTCTTGGGTGGATTGGAATCCCTTCATTGTCAACCGTGGCTTGAATTACTCTAGCACAGGGGACAAGCATATTGCTGGGATGAGCATTGTTCTTAGTGTACTAATAGGCACCGATAAGTAGGCTTATGCTGACTTGATGATGTCGTTTTGATTAGTTCATGGGTCACAGTGGTTAGGTACCATGGCCTGATAATACATTTCGAGCATGCTAGAATATAGCAAAGCTTGCACTAAATTTGTAGGCTTCTAACTTCCACGTAGATTGTTAGTCACTAAACTTCCGTTTGTTTTGCATGTTTCCTCCATGCCAGTGTGTGTTGACTTGTTTCTCTCTGATTCCCTCTTAGTCCTGCTGGCAGTAGCAGGTACGGCTCCTCGTGCAGCATCAGTCAGGGAAGCTCTCAGCTGAGTGAGCTGGACCATTACCATGAAAGTGCCCACGGCTCTGAGCAGGAGGATGAGCACCGGGATGTGGAGTCAAGCCATTCCTCCCAGAGTGCTGGCAGCTATCCGAAGGAGGGGCAGGAGTGGCAAGGCGAGCAGGAGGGGCCCCGGGAGCAGCGCGATGGAACAACAGAGAAGGAAAAGATCAGTGAGACAGACGTGAAATCTCAAGATCGTTGTGCATCCAGATTAACCCCCCCACTGGAGAAGCCCCAGGATCTCTCAGCAGAGCGGCCGGAGAGGTAAGGGGTGTGGCCAGTGTCAGAATAAAGCCCTGGAGAGGTGGGAGCTTACAGAGGGAAGGGGTAGCTCAGTGGTTTGAGCATTGGCCTGCTAAACCCAGGGTTGTGAGTTCAATCCTTGCAAAGGCCATTTGGGGCAAAAATTCATCAGGGGTGTTACTTGGTCCTGCTGTGAAGGCAGGGGACTGGACTGATGACCTTTCAAGGTCCCTTCCAGTTCTAGGAGATAGGCAAGCTCCATTAAAATCAGAGAAGTGGTCATTTTACTGTTGCTATTGATAGCCTCTGTTGAATGCCAAGTTGGAAGCAAGGCTGCAATGTTGGCATCTTAAGCTCTGCCCTGACAGCCAGTTACTCACGTGGATGTGCTGTATTCTGATAGGTATCCCGGCACTCGGTGACAGATGTTTGGGAAAATTGAACTGTATTTAGTGCATGGTAGAAGTGCCAGTGCTGCCCTTCAGGGACCTAGCAAGTCATTTGCAGTGATTCTCCAGTCTGCATTGCTCGCCCGTGGGCGTGCCAGGAGGGGATCCCCATATTAGCAAGCAAAGCCTGTTTAGTGGCAGTGCACGGCGTGGCAGGACACGCTGCATCCAAAGCCCAAAGGGACGGAAGTGAGAAGTTAAGGGGCAAACCTTGTGCGTTTCCCCACCTTTATATTGCATGCAGCACGAGTGACATCCCGCTCCAAAAAGCTTTCAGCTGTATCCAACTTGCGCATGAACATGGAACCTTAACCGGGACTTCAGGGTTCAGTACTAGCAGCTGAGCACATCTGGTGGTTAGATACGACATGCATTTGGGAAGTTAAACAACTTCTGACCATTTGCAGTCAGCACAGCTCTGAACAAGTGTCTGGTCCTACAGGAAAGCTGAAGAGTAGCTCATTCGATTATTTATACCATTAGAAGTAGATGATTACTGATGGATTATGTTGGTGATGTACGCTTACTGATGCAGAAATGTGCCGTTGATCGCCTATAAAATCCCTGCGTCATGAGCATCCTCGGTGTTGGTTTTCAATGATGATGTAATTCCAATTGCTCTGCTCTCTAGCTGAGGAGCTCTCAACTGGCAGGACACACTAGATATTCGCCTGCTTTTAAAACAAGCTACATAAAAGCACTAGTGAAGTCAGTACAAACTGAAATTTCACGCGCACACGGATTTACTTACCAATATTACTATACTATTGTCACGGAGTGTGGGGAAGTCATAGAATCCTGGAGATCTCAGGAGGTTGAGTCCAGCCCCCTGCCCAAAGCAGGACCAACCCCAACTCAATGATCCCAGCCAGGGTTTTGTCCAGCTGAGCCCTGCACCCCCATCCGCAGCCAATCGTGACGCTCAGCCGGCAAGCAGAACATAAGGTTTATTCATTGACAGGGACACAGCGTAGCATGGACTTGTTGATATAGGGACCAGGAGCCATCAGTACAATCCATCTTGGGGTCAGAGGGGCCCGGAGCCAAACTAGACCCTTGGGGCTGCCCAGCCCCCAGAGCCAGCCGAGAAAACCAACACCCACACCCACACCCAGCAACTGGTCCCAGCCCTCTAGGCCGCTCCACAACCTCTTGTGTCCTGCTTCCCGGGCCCAAGATGTTATGACCATCACTGGCTGCATCTTCCTCTTAGGATCAGGTGACAGAACGGCCTGGGCCATTCCCTATGTGCCTCCCTCAGGCAGTCTGACCCAAAGATCCCATCCCGTGCGCGTGCACGCACACCCCGTTCCCCACACACACCCAGAGCACACTCAGCATAATAAAGCAAACAGTGAACACAATCCCCACTATATCACAACTATACACTGACAGGTAAACACAGTATCTGTTTCCAATAGTTTTATTTTGAACTAGAAGACATACCTGGCACTGCCCAGGTCCTTCAGGGCAGGGGGTGGCCGTGGCAGGTGCTGGAGTCAGAGCTGGGGGTTGAGGAGGGGCAGGGCAGGGGAGGGGCTAACATTTATTTGGGCACAATCTTTCACGGGTAAAACAAACTTCATCAGCTACAGAGATGGTTTAACATGGTGCAACAACTGGAAGTTAAAGCTAAATAACTTCATTCTAGAAATAACATGTAAATTGTTAACTGTGAGAGAAACGAACCATTGGAACAACTTACCCAGGGCTGAGGTGGAGTCTCTGTCATTGACACATTTTAAATCCAGACTGAATATCTGTGTAGGAGCTCTGCTCTAGGAATTATTTTGGGGAGTTCTCTGGCGTGTGTTATGAGTGGTCAGAGCAGATGTTGAGAAAAGAACCTGCGACTCCAGGAACAAGAATGAACTATAAGCATCTTTATTCTAGTAGTTAAATGGGTGCAATTTTTGTGTAGACAAGCCCTTACATCAGAAATCTAGAAAGCCCTCACCATTTTGGAACAAAATGGCAGGTGAAAAAGAGAGCACTGAACTCTTCACCCTCGTCAGACTTGATCCTGCATCCGTATTTCAAAGGAGCAAGATTCTTTCCCCAGAAATAACTGTTTGCTTACATTTGTCCGTTGTGACGGGTCTGGTGCTGTCGGGTCAGGTAGAGACCCGGTGCCTTCCCCTTAGTGCTCACCGGGTGAAGGGGAAATGTACAAAGGCTGGATTAGGACACAAGCAGTGTGGTGGGTGGTTGTAGAGATGTATTATCAACCGGAATGTGTGGAGGACAGAGGAGTGCATACCTTGCAGGGCTGGTGCTTGCGGCCGTCCCGTGACGGGTGGCATTTATAATGCATCTGTCACCACGAACGCCTCCCCCTACCCCTTTTCCCGGTTCTGATTCAACATTTCAGATTTCTAACTACCTTAGACGGTTTCTTTTTTTTAAGATGCAAAAATATTTCTTTCCCTCATGTGGGGAATTTCTCCCAGAAAAGACCAGGAAGAAGTTTATCTTGTAAGTCACCAAGGTTCAGAATACAGATTGTACCCCTCCTTAACCAGAACTCACTGGTCTGGCAACGGACCACAGATGTTCCTGGACTGCAGAGGCCAGGTATAGGAAGGTCTGGCTGGGGGGGAGAGAAGGCGGCCACCCACCCAGGAGCCCAGTGTTGAGTGGGGCACAGAGGGTAGGTGGTGCAGCAGGCTGGTGTGGCCTCTGCAGCCAGTCAGTAGGGGGGAACTGGCAGCGGTGGCCACGCAGTTCTGGCCCCCGCCGCACAGCTCTGGCCCCCGGCCGCGCAGCTCTGGAGCTCCAGCCCAGGGAGCCACTGTTGGGCAGGCAGCAGTGGGGCCAGGCTGGAGCTCTAGCTGGCGGCAGCATGGGCCATGATGGGAGGGACATCCCCTGGTCCGGCAAATCCCCTCGTTCAGGAACAGTCAGGTCCCGAGGGTGCCGGATGAGGGAGGTCCAACCTGTAGTTGGTTTATCCCATTACAAAGCTAGGAATTCCTCTGTCCCACATTTCAGTTCAATGCCTAATTGCTCTAGATTGGCATCTCCTTTACAGGAGTAGCTTCGGGTTTGTGTGTGGCTTTCGGATGTGCTGGATGTTCATGTGCCTCTTGAGCTATAATTGCCTTTGCTCTGTACCACTCCTTGAACGAGACAGTTTCACTTCATGGTTTTTCTGTTTCTAAAATTGTTCTTGTGTTTCCAGGTACCTGGATGACGATGAGCCTCCACCATTTTCTCCAGCAAGATCTCACTGGCTCCGAGCCATTAACAAAATACGACTACGGCTTCAGGAGGTAAGGTTACATGTTTCTTAGCTTTATTCCTTTTCTGTGCTTGCTAATGTTTTGGATTGAAGGCCAGAGACTCATTTGGTGGAACACTTCATGGTTTAATTTCTACTCGCAAAAGGTCACACCATGAAAAGCTTGAATCTGTGTATTTCACGGAGACAGTTAGTGTTAGACTCACTTAAAACAAATGCTTTGGTAGAACCGATAGTTTAGTAGCTGGACATTTCAGAAAATGTTTTAACACAGACCTGGAACTGAACAGTCAGAAAAAAGATGCAGAATCTATGAAAGCGCTTTCTAATTTGTATAACATTTATTTGGTGCCAATAGATGTGGCTGCTAGATAATTTGGGGCTGGAAAAACTTTATTTACTGTGACCAGTTCACAGTTCAGACTGCATGTGTTTTTCAAACCTGTATCAGAATTTCTTGTTGGCTCAGTAGAACCGTTTCTCTTGCAATGCAGTATTATTTCTTGAGAAGCTTTGCATCAGGCATTTTGTAAATCTTGAATAGCTGTTAATGGGGGTGTAACCTGACTTCTCTGCCAATGTTAAGGTTTTGTTAACGTTGAGAAGTTAAAAAGGAACCGTCTGGGAGGTTTTCTTCTGCACATGGGCTATTCTGATATGAAGAGCATACCAACAGTTTTCAGTGTGAGTTTTACACACTTTTATCCTGTGTCCAGTCACAGAGACTATATGGTGTGTTCAGTTTCTACAGATGGTAAGCTGTTGCCTGCTAGCAGAAGCACACACTTTCATGTCTTCCCTTTTTTACGTTGTCTTCCCCCGTCTGCTTTGTAATAGTATGGGTGTTACGATGATATCTGCCTGCTTGAAGGTTTGACAGCTGTGCAATAACGTCCTGCATGGGATCCAGTCGAGTACCAGATTTTGTTCCCATTTCCTTTCTTCCTTCCTTTTTTTTGGATTTGTTTCAAGTATGTGTCATGGGAGCCAAAAGCGCTGTTTGTCTTGTTCACAGTTCTGTCTTAGGCTCATCCTAGTCACAATCAGGATCCCTTTCCCCCTAGTCTTGAGATCGACAATGCATCAAATGATGGCGCTTTTACTAGTTTAAGGTCAATGAAGTAGGCTTATGTTTGCGACTGGAGAAATGGATGCAGGATGGGTGTCAGATGTTAGGGGCACAAGGGGCAGGGCTCGTTAGACAGGTATTGAGAAGGAAGGAAGTTCTGGTTTAATGTCAGAAGGCGTATACTTTCTGCATGCAAAATAAAACCTTCCTGAGTTCTGCAAAAGAGTATGGAGAACATGATGAAATTATCATCAGACAATTAAATGAATTGTAGTGCCTGTGCCTACTGCCACAGAGATTCCCCTACATCTCTGTCCACATGTGGAATGACCGCTCTCAGATGACAGCGGCAAATTCAGTATCTGTATCACTTCCAAGATGTTCTGCTGATCTGATCGGTAGACATGCTCATGGCCAATGATTACAATTCTGGTTTTGGTAGAGTAGCCGCATCTCCATTATGCATTGATCTGAGCTGGCAAATTCCTTTTGCATGTATTTAATTGGATAACTCACTTTGGATTGCTAATCACCTGTGTAGGCATTTGAACCAGTAACCCAGCGATAGAAGGCTCCATATGTGATTAACACTGTAGCCTCCCACCTTGAAGAGATGAGCTCTCATGTGAGTGTTGTGCACGCATCCTACAGCGTTATGAGTCAGAGAAGGAGATGTTAATTTTTGATGGCTACAAAGTTTTGCAGTATGTTGTGAACACACAAATTACTAACATTCCTTTTTCCAGTGCATATTGAATTTGTCTTTGGTTTCGTGGACCTCTGCCAAACGGAGATTCTTGGATGGGTCAGAACGTCACTTTGCCATTTCTAAGCTGGTTTGTCTCTGCATTACTGCAGCCGTGTACACAGAATTAACTGCAGTCTGTCCAGAATCAGAGCAGGGTTTCTAGCCCGGCGAGGGTTGTTGTCATGGATTCACTGAACCCTCTTACGTTCACACAACGGGCTTGTCAATACAGGGAAATTAACAAGAATGGCTGTTGTGGCTCATTTTTCCACTTCTTCTGAAATAAGCGTGTCTGTGCTGGGAGCTATTCTGGAAAACAGTTGAGCATTAAAATTCACTTCCTAGCTTCATGCAAATCAGACCAGTGTAGACAAACCCAGGTAATGAGTTAAGGCAAATTTGAATCTTACTTTTCCCTTGTGTGAATCTGCAGATTGAACACAGATATAGAATTGTGTTTTATGCTTGTAATAAATTCCATCGCAGATACTAAGACTTTCTCCTGCGTTTTGAAAATGTGGTAACGACCACTAGAAACAAGAGGGGCCATGTGACCTCCCCATATGTCTCTGCCTCCCCCACAGCCCGGGACCCCTCCCTCCCCCATCCCATCCCACGTGACCTGCAGGGAGGGGGTGGGGGTCTGCAGACAGTAGAACTGCTGACAGTTGTCCTGTTCCCAGCCCTGCCGCCTGCCCCTCTGTTCCACTGACATGTCTCCGTGTACAGGGCTGTAGAGCAGGGGGTAGCTGGCCATTCTAGCCTGTGCACAGAGATGGGGCAGCCAGCAAGGGGGCTGGGACTGGCCAGCGGGCAGCGTATCGGGTGTGCCGCACCACTAACGTAACATGCTGGTATGGCGCACTAGACGGCACTAGCCCCTTGCACCACCTCAATGAACATTGCGCTTCAGAAGCCATGTGTCCATTTTCTAGACACTTCCAGATATTATTTAGGGATGTTTGTTTAATGATGTGAAATTTCTTCCCTTCCTTAGGGAGTCAGTCATTTTTGTTCTCCGCTTTAGGCATGTAGGCCGTATGTTCCCTTGATTTTTTTTTTCTCTGAGATGCAGTTCTTTCCAAAATGGATTTGATTTTAAATCTTCAGCTTTACCAATTCAATGTCCACACTTGAGTTTTCTGTTGCCGCCGTGTAACTAGATGGTCTGTCTAGGTGATTGCGCCTATTGCCGATTTTCAGAGTGGGAGACCAGCGACTTCTCCTCTTCCTCCTTGTTAATCTGATAAGGATCGGGCTTATCCCCAGTTGTGTCCAATCTCTCTTGCTGGATGTGCAACACTTCTGAAAATTGAACCATCCTTTTAGGCCTAAAATGAAGGATTTGGGAGCCCAGCTTCAGACACTCAGACCTTGAAAAGCTTGCCTCAGATATCACTAAACACTCATTGAAATAAATCTCTTCTTTCAATGTTCGTACATCTTAGATTCTGTCTGGTGTGAAGCAGAAGGCAGTTTGGAAACGGCTCCTGGTTTCCCAGGATAGTCCTGAATTTCAGTCCCATTTTGTTGCCAGAATTTTCTCAGCGATGGTTACAGGGGTGTGATACAAATCAGTGAGCAGCTCCCTGCTGACTCTCTGCTCTCTGCCGTGGGCTGTGTTAATTTGGTCAGAAATTGCATTCTTGTGCTGGTTTAGTGCATGCTTGCAAGGAAGGAACGTCACGTGTTAGCCTGTTGAAGTGAACGTGCCACTTCTGAAAGGCACTGTCTGGGTAGTTTCAGCAAATGAAGTTGTATTTATCCTCTGGACTAGGGATAACTCAACACGTGGCCCATTGGCCGCATGCTGCCCGTGGCTTGTTCGTTTGTGGCCTGCCGTGCATATGGGGCTCAACTCATGGTCCGCAGGTGGAATCCTTTGAACGTGGCCTCCACTGGGAACACGCTGTACAATAGCGAGTCAATAGAATGGTCTTCTGTTGATCTGTGTTTTAGTACTTAAATTCCTTGACACTCATTGAACATTTAAAAGTGCTGTCATGTGGGTGGGCCTTTATTAATATCAGCAGAACTGATTTAAATGGGGCTTGTGTGTTTTTAGTCTTGCCTTTATCTTTGTATTCATGCCAGTCAGTGTGAAAGAAACTATTTGCATATATTTGCATGTACATGCAAGCACACTTAAGTTGCGGCCCTCGGCATGTGCTGCGAGTATCAGTGTGGCCCCCAGGGCTTCCAAAGTTGAGTAGCCCTGCTCTGGATGAAGGAAGTGCAGTGTCCGAGCAAGCCCTTCCCACTGCTGACCTCTACTGCAATGGCAGGACGTCGTCCAGGGTTGGGGAAGGGGTTCAGTCTCCGATTGGTGAAGAACGTCAGGCAGGATGCTGATGAGTGTGCCAGCTGTGATAGAACATGTGAGAGTTGATCGCTTGTCCACGAGGACCTGGCCTGAGAACCACAGGGCCACCAACAGCGCTTTGCATGCCAGCTACTTGCCCCGACTAGCTCTCTGGCTGGGTTTGAATTGACAATGCAGAGGAGAACCTCTCCCTATCCAATTCCCAAGCTCCTGAGCTATTGAGAGTGCATAGTGGCATTTGGTGCATTTTTACTATTTTACTCCCGCTTGATCTTTTTAAAAAACCTTCTTTGTAAACGTCTGTTGCCAGTATCCCGAAGATGAGTAAGCTGCATTTCCAAAGCATCCCACGCAGCAGCAGAGAAGGGAGTTCAAGCTCTGTGTATATCAGTTCTGAAAATACATTTTTCCTGAGGGTTGCCATAGATTTTGTTATTACGTGGAGGTTTTCATCTCCATCTGGGAGATTTTGTGTGTTCTATCTGCCAGGGTTTCCTCCAGTCTCAGAACTATCGCCGATCAAATTATGCAATGCTGGGGGGAAATTGTAGCATCTCTCTGCTTTAGCTTCCTGCCTTCCTCAAAGAGCCCATTGGTACATGGAGAGAGAACAGCTCGGGTAGCGATTGTTCTGACCTTATTATACACACAACCTGCATGACTTCAGACACTGGCATTTACAATTATACTTCACGTACGTTGAATTTCTGTGTGCTTCGGATCCTCATCAAATGGGAGTCCTGTCCCAGGCTTCACGTATATACGTGTGTGTGTAACTCAGGGAGGCACTTGGATAATAACGTGATGAAGGCTGCGTAATTTATGTATGTAGACTATGACCACACTCCGTAGCTGGTTCTCTAGCTAATGGGCGGACCAGAAGAAGGCATC